ACCAAACCAAAATATAATGTAGTGTTATTAAGTTACACACTGAATTGAAAGGATTTCCATTCCTTTCTTCATTAGGTTGAAAGTTGCAGGAATACAATTTAAAGCAACACAAACACAGGACAAGCAAAATTCTAATAAAGGCATTTTTTTAAAAAGTTTTGTTTTTTAAATAGTTTTTTTTTTTCTTTTTTGATAGTTAATTGCAATTTTTTTTTTTTTTTTTTTTTTAGAAAACAATTGCATTAAAATTTCAGAATTCAGCAATGATTAAAAAGTGCATGATTTTATTTCAAAATGATATCGTTTGAGATTATAATTTGCTACTTGAAAGTATGTTTTTTTGACTCCAAAATGTATCCTCTAAATTCCTTTCAGCCCCATTAGTGAAAGAGATTAAGTTTTTTTTTTTATTTTTTATTTTTTAAGGCCAGCTTTTCAAGGGCAGTCTAGAAATGTGATTCTAACAAGATGAAGCTACAGTTTTGCATATCCAGGGTAATATGGTTTTCATATTAGATATTTTCAGTGAACATCCAATTCAACATATATTTTATTCGAATAATTCTTTGACTGTTATATTTACAGCCTACTTCTAAAATTACTAATAAGTTTCTGGTGCTATAAAATGAGAAAATATATGAGAGGCAAATAATTACTTGTCTCAGACACATTTCTTGACAGGATGATCCACTTTGTTGAAAAAACATTATTAAAAGCTTAATTCAAATTTATAATGAAAACAATATTTTCCCACGTAGAAACATGGAGAATATTAACTAAAAACAAAAAATTAAAAGGTTTTTCATGAGTTTTAACTAATCACAATTTATCTTTTTACAAAATAGATTCATAATATCATATTCCCTCAAATTATGTGAATATATCTTTCTTTCTTTTTTTTGTCTCCTTACATTATAATTCATAAATGTCATTAAAAATTATCCATTTCATTAGAAAAATCAAAAATGTATATACATAAATTGATCATTTTATACTAGAAATGCAGTTCTCCAGATTACTTCATTACGATTGTTGATTAATAAATACCAGATGTATATGCATACTTTCAAGGTTCCTTTTTTGATAGTCAGTTTTTTAAAAATTTTTAAAATTATTATTTATTAATATAATCACTGTTTTAATTATTTTTTACATATTATATTATTTTTATTTCTATAGTACATGACTGATTGATTTCTGCTCAACGTTTTCATAAGTTTGTATGAAGATGAAGTATAGAATAACACAAGTTAATAATCTCAACAGAAGATGATATAAATTAGCAACAAAAATTATATTTCTAATTTTAATCATATAAGATGCTCAAACTTCAAACTGAGGTAGTGGCAATTCGGGTAATTTTTCTGAACATAAAGTTAGATTTTTAATGAATGTTTCCCACAATTATTTCAAATGAATGAAAACACAAAGCTTATTATAATTAAAGAAAGAGTGAAAGCAGAATTTTCTTGCATTGAAGAAAAGTGAGGCTCTACTCTTATATTCGCCCTAAGATCACCAAATGTGGCGATATATGTTCTGTGCTGGTTTTTGGCGCGACTGCAGTGCTGTATGGTGGTTTTGGGGATGACATTGTTTGTATGGCAACTCTTTTGACGTTGAAACTTAACTATTTTGCTGCAGTGGTTTAATTGCTCATTGGTTCGTGTTTTGAAATCACCTATGTTGCAATGATAGACATGTTGGCAAGATTTCAGTTGCATATTTTAGATTATGTGGAAAATAAATTTAGTATTAAAAGGTACGGTGTTGGAATTGTTAACGAGTCTTTTGTTCATGGGTGTGTTTATAAGAATCAAAGTGTATTTTTGGAATTTCTGTGGGACTTTTAAAATGGAGTCCGAAATGCAGAGCTGCTATGAGAACTCGGACGAAGAAGGGCATTTCTGATAGTTCTTGTGTGGATTTGCAGTCAAATGCTTGTTGGTAAAGTATGTGGCTATCAGCGGAGTTTAAGATTTGTCAGCGGAGTTTAAGATTTTGTCAGCAGAGATAAGATTTGGTTTTCGTGTAGTAAGTTAACTTTGTAGGAAGTTTTTATCATTACTTTCGAAATTCTGAATTGCAGAAAGACATGTGATATAGCACAATCGTGGCACTTTTGTTCACAGATGTTGTGTGACTGGCCAAAAATATTTGGCGAGAAATTTGTCACCAAGCGAGGGCATATATAAGAATAGTTCCAAAATGGATATGACTGGACAGGAGAAGGAAATGCAAAGACTAAAAATATAAAATCCTATTTGTGAAAATACATACACTATTTACGATTCAAATGTTAAGTATACTAATTCATCAGAGTTTAAAAAAATAAATGCAAATAAACAGTGATGCCCACCAGTGGCCAAGCTGAGAGCTAAAAAGGACACTGAACACTGGTAGTTCAGTCCACGGTTTAACTCCTGGAAAATAGGTTAGCTGCATGGAACATTTTCATGGTTTTTCCCATGCGTGAGATGGATATGAGCCAGTTTCCCCTAAAAAGTCCTCTATGGGGCATTCCCCCCTTTCCGTGTAGTGCCTAATGGCATAGCACATTTTAAATAATGAAATAAACAGTGTTTTAGAAAATGCTAATTTTTCATTAAAACTCCTAATTATTGTATGATAGTATTTAATAAAATTAGAAGTTATAGAAAATATTAGTAAGTGATTATTTTTTTAAAATTTGATTGAAAATAGCTATTCCTTAGTTTTGTGGTCTGATACCCTTCATACTTGCAGTAACACCTGTTTTCAGTTATCAAGGATTTTTTTAATATATTTTGTTTGCTTTTTCCCTAAAGACATAAAATCCAATCTTATAATATAACAATAAGGAAGATAAATAGTAGTTCTGTAAAGGGAGTAATAAATATTATGCAGCTAATTTATGAATAGTTGTAACTCATATTACCACCAAACAGTTTAGGGTAAAAAAAACAATAATTTGAGCAAAATAATGAATTCGTATAATTCATATAAATTCGATAAGGTATGAGTCAAGATGATGACGGGCTGTTCCTCTCTGTTTTTTGTTGCGCCATTTGGCTGAGCCCCACATGCGCTCTACATGTTGTGTGTGAACGCCCGTGTTGGGATCCACAAAGTTATATTTGTGATTAACAGTTCCATGCAGAAATCCAGCATTTTTGAACTCACTTGTATTGTATCCTTTCCAGCAATCCGAATAAATGATGCTTCCTTCCTTGATATTTTCGCAAACTTTTTCCATGAGGGTAACGGCGCTTCTGTTAGGTACAGTAACCAAAATAGTCTCTTTCTTTTCTCGGCAAATTCCGCCGAAAACCCAGTGCTGTGGTAGTACACGCCCAGTGTTATTTTTTCTTTTTACAAATAAACTTTCGTCTAAACACATACGTTGCCTTAAGTGGGGTCGCTAAATTTGGCAATTTATGCGAATTTTGGCCTGGTTGCGTTAATACATAAGTACCAAATTTTTTTATAGAGGCTTAGAGTTCTCTCAGCCTTTTTAAAAAAATAAATTAAAAATAAATTTTTTATTTATTTTTTAAAATAAATAAATTTTAAGATTTAAAAATAAATTTAAAATTAAAATTTTTAAAAATACATTAATTTTTTTAATAAAAATTTTTCATACAGGAAACACATTGGTTTTGGGTTAACAAGTGGACTTAAATTTAATTCTGCAACATTTAACTCATATAATAAAGGCAAGTATAATTTCAAAGTCATTTTTGTAAGAAATTTTGAAAGATTTGAAAGACAACTATTAAAATTTCATTGCAGTTTCCAAAAAATAAAAATAAAAAAAGCAGTGCAAAGACTCACAGATGCAATTTAACATCTTATAACAGCCACCAGCAACAACAATTGCATGCAATTTCCTCAGCAATGAATATATTTGCCACTCATCCATCGCAGACATCGTGCAGGAGAAAGAGGGGCATGCAAAGGCAGTAACATCTGAAGCTTCTGTGACAACACTGTCGTTTCTCTGCCCATTCCAACCAACATCGAATGACGACATTGAAGGCGGTGGTGAAAGAAGATACGCTGCAGGTTACTGGAAAATAAGTGAAACACTTGAACAAAATACATTTTACAAAAGAAAATAAAGCACTGCAGGCGAGCCAGCACCAATGTTCCACAACAGAATAAGCGCGACACATACCACATTTTGTGGATTAAAACTTTGGATGAAATAGTAACCAAACATATACTTCAGACAGTAAATTGGAGTAAAGCATTCAATTTAATTTTTCTCAGTGGTCCCCTAGCCTTTACAAATGACCTATAAAACAAGAAAACAGATTAAACACAGTTTTGATACATCAGTATTCTGGAATTATTATTTGACTTTCTTCCAAGTGCATAAATTAAAGATTGCAGATTTTAGTGTTACTCTTAGTATTGCCTGATTTGGCTAAGCCTTAAGCGTACTATCTTTGAGGGACATGAGCTACCCAAAACTATTATTTTAAGGGCAATTAATTAATCTACTGATAACTATTAAGACTATTATCTGAAATACAAGAGTTTTTTCACTTTATTCTTTCAGAAATGAAAACAAGAAAAAAAAAAAAGTGCTATTAAATTGAATTTTTTTCATTACTTAAGATTTATCCTTTCCAACATTATAAGCATACTATCATTTGACAATTCCTATTATTTTTGCTCGAGTTAGGAAAAGTTTATTCATAATCAAGTTTTTATGATGTATGCATTTCTTAGACACCAAGCTAGGAGAAATGAAAGGTTATGTGCATGGGTCTTATCACATATACAAAATTAAAAATGACAAAAAAAGGGGGGAAGACAAGAGAATCAAGATGATCAAAACCATGCAAAAAAATAACCCTTGTTTTAATTTAAATCCAAAATAAAGAAGCATTTTACATTTTAGCTGGTGGACATCAAATGCAGCTTATTCTCCTTGCTCAACTTATTCTGTATAATTTTCAGGCTGGGGGGGAAAGAAGAAGAAGAAAACAATGAAGTTAAACAACATGACTCACTCTGGCGGCCAATGATGATGTTGGTTTTTCTAACAAATCCCACAGACATTTTCTGTAGGGTGCACACCTTCCGAATCCAAAGTCTTCTTCTTCTCTTTGTCTCAATGATTCTGCTTCTTTCCTCATTTCCTCATAAACATGTTCTTTTTTCTGATGATATTTATGCTGGCAGCACGATTCGAGATACAATTCATCTATTCCCCAATACTCCAAATCATCACTGAACGCCAATACGCACATTTCCTCCACAAGATGAAGTTTTCCGGTACGATAAAAATTAACTACAGCACTAAAAGAACGAGGATGGCGATCAAAAAAGTATTCGTTGTCAATCAAGCTGTAATCATCACACAGTTCCATGATAGCTTCATGGGTGTTGCATTCTCTAAGTCTACCAAGCCTAGTGTGAGGTAGGCGTTCTAGAGTGGTCCACAAAACCTCATGTTTGACACCTCCCACGTTGATGACAACACGACGATTTAGCGCTTTGCTCCGGATAATCATGAACGACTCTGGAGGGAGAGACGACATGGACCTGGAGTGAGCGCGGTTCTGTTGCTGTATATGTTGCTGTTGAGCACCATATTGTTGCAACACTTCTGCAAACTGAGGCTGGGGAGTCATTGTTGGATTAGGCTGAACTGAAGGGTTAGGGGTGGAGGCGCTTTGTTGCGTTGCTGGCGTCAATGTGAAAACTCCTGAGCTCGCCTTTTCCATTTTGTCTGAACCAGTCATCCTCATTGCCCTCCCCGCCTAATGAACGGGAAAGGAGGGCTGAAGCCACAGCCAACAGTCACACTGACACATAGAAAAGACAAGCTACACATAAGTTTGGGTTAGTTTCGGGGGTGTGCACGTTTACGACACTTCATAATCCCATATTATGTAACTGGAACAGACAGTACTTTGAATTCCAGAAAATGAGTGATTACATGCCTTGGCATTATGGCAGTTCCAGAAGACCACATTGATGATGACTGCCTATAAAAAATGGTAATAAAAGTTTTAATTTTTTCTTTGTTACATTCAAATACAGTAACAAAATGAGAACATTTTCTTTTCTTATTTAAGTATCATAAAATGCATAATTTTAAACAATAATGCCTATTAAATAGTATCTGAATCTTGAGACATGCAAAGAAATATATTTATAACTGTAAACCACATACTAAAAGATATCTTTTTGAGTGCATTTAAACAAAGGGGGGGGGAATGAAGGAAATAAGGAAAAGGATGAGAAATAATCTATCATTGCCAGAGAGAGAGAGAAATGTAATGGTGATAACTGATTTAATGTACTATCTGTATTTTTCTGATGTCTTTTTAAGATGAGAATTATTGAAGCATTTTATAATTATAAATAAGCACCTGGTCCTCCATTTTAGTATGTTTAATAAAATGAGGTCAGTTAACAGATCTAAGTGGCTACTTAGTATAGTAATGTTAAAAAGCTTTTCTTTTTTAACCTTGATACACCAGAGTTAGTTACTCAACTTTTACAGTAAATTAGATAGTCCGTAACATATGTTTTTACAATTGGTTGTCTTTCAGGTTTTAAACTGCTGTTACAAAAGGTTACTTATTCTTTTTAACATTTTCAAACTTTGTAAAAGGCACAGGTACTTTTCAGTTTTGCTGGCGCAAACAATAAAGTCGCCAATAATGATACAGATGATGCCAAACGGAATATCTTCACTGGTAACCTTTTACGCTTTATTTTCAAAACAAGTTGCAGCCATTTCTTATCAGAGTGATTGTTTTTTTCAATACTGGCATACAATTACATAGAATTTTTACAATTTTTTTTAGTTAAATTTCATGCTCTAAGACCACTCACAGTGATTAAGTCAATTAGGATGCAATCACACCGCTCACCGGAAGGCGAAAATATAGAAAGGCAAAATCAAGAGTTAAATTCATCAGTTCTAATGAGAATGCACTAGCGAAGTAAAGCACTGTGGTTTTACATAATTTATGAGTAAGCCATTCATGCAAATTGAAATAATTCTTGCATTTAAACTATTATCCCAAATTAAGATTTAACTTGAAATTAATGTAGATAATTACTGAGAGAATTAGATGTTTGTAGGGTAGTTTACGTGAGATGAGATCACTTGGGGTCACGTGATAAGAACTGGCAAATCAGGATGTTGAATAATGAAAGCATAGTAAATTCTTAAATTAATGTCTTTTTACAAATTTATTGTCGTTATTTATTGGCTTTTTACAAAATTTTAAACCATATCAAAATAAAAAATCTTAGAACTAACATTTGTTAACATTTTTTATGTGTATAGTGTATGCTGTCGCCAACAAAGTCTGCCTGGCGAGACTTGCGCCAGCGAAACGGAAAAGTACCAAGGCATGATTTAGAGAAGTATTTATGACTAGAAGTGTTACTTCTTATGATATTACATAAAATAATAAATGTTTATTATACATGTCCTTGAGATTCTCAAAATTGATATATATATTCAGGAATCAAAGGTTTTTCATCTTTACATTTTCTTTCTTTCTTGTTTCTTGATCACAACATTCAAAGAGTAAGCAAAGTTTTCAAAGATGAAAAGCAAAATTGAAGGCTTCTAAAATTATAATTTTGCTAACTTGACAAACTGGTAAGAAAAACAATAAGAGAAATAAGAAAGCAAAGTCAGTTATCAACATTATTTAAAATTTCTGTCAGAATATTTTTATAAAAAATCAATAAAATAAAATTAGTCAATTAATAAGCTGTTGAAAACATTTACTTACTTTAGTGAAGGAACACAGAAAGTAAAATAGGAAGTCTAACATAAGTCTTTGAATTTCTTATAATACAGAGAGAAATGATTAGAACAGTTAAGTGTTGAATTAAATTTTTTTTCTCATCAATTAAAAAAAGATACAATTTAGTTTTTATGAAAAGATGAAAGACTGCTGCTGCTTTTTAGGTTAGTTAAAGCAAAAATCAAGAAATTTTAAATGCACAGAAGTAAAAATTAATTAAATCGATTCCTTTAAATTTTATGATATTTTTTTGGACATAAAGCTTTAATATAATCATATTCTTATATTTTCCCTGATATTTGTGTTCATCTAAGAAAAGTAATATATACAAGATACATTGCAAGAATTCTAAACTTATAATTTTAAAACAGCAAGAGTTTTACCATTACCTTACACCTAAATATTAAAAAAAAATTTTTTAATAAAAAATTGCTCATAAATGTGACAAGGACAGTTACGTAAATATATACTCATACCTCTCAAAGCAATTCTTCATATACACAGTTATAATAAAACTTAAGTGAGATTGTCATTATATTATTAATGTAATTATTCACTAAAACGTACACTGATATAGAAATTAGATGACAAGAAAAATAACTACGTCAAAAGATACACAAGAAGATAGAAGGCAAATGAGTATTTAATTATGAGTTTATGTCTTGCTTAGATTCAACAGAAATAGAAAAATTAAATGAACTTAGCAGTAAAGTTATAAGAAATGTAAGTGTAGTTAAAAAGAAAGTAACATCCTGATTACTAAAATAATTATATACATGTTTATACTGAAAGATAACAGTTAAGGAAATTGTATAATATTGCATTAACTGCAGAAAGCATTATTAAATTTGTTTTAATTACACTGATAACAGGATTAAGCTACTTGCTATTGTTAAGTGAGTCTTAGATCTGTTAAAAATGAAAATCATATTGAAAATGCACTGCTGGCTGTGGAGAAATGTTGTATTTACTAAAAAATAAGACCCTCCTTATATTTTTGCATAAATTTCAAGAAATAAAAATGTTGGTGAATACTTGACAACACAACATGGCTCTGATTAAAATGAAAAATAAGTTGCTTAATTAAATACAATACTTTGTTATGGTGTAGAAAGAAAAACTAGGAAAAGTTAGTAACATTGCTAATTAGTATTTGTTTTTATATATATATTAGTGAACGTATTAGTTGATACAGGCTTAAATAGAAATCATTCAGCTCAATAAGGCTATTATAACTAGTAGTAATTACATAGGTTATATATGTGCTAATTACCTAGTATGTTAATTTTACACTTAAACAAAGTAATTATTCTATATAATATGATAAAACTCTTTTCTTTTATTCTGATATTTCCTTTATCAAAATACCCATTTTAGACCAAAAATACAACACAAAAAGTGATCATATTTTTGTGAATATATGTTCTTAATATATTTTTTGCTTAATTTAAAAGCAAATAAAATTTACATAAAAAAAGCTTTTCAACCTGAAGACCTCTGCAAGCAGTTAATTTTGTTAATAAATCATTTTAGCAGAATACTGGATTTTGAATATTATACAATATATAATGTTTATAAACAATTAATATATTACATGAAATTAAAACCCCCCCCCTTGGAAAAAAAAAAAAAAAAAGAAATCATACTTAAGAAATGCAGCAGAGTAACAATTGCATAAAAGTACAATATTTACATAATGGAAAAAAGTTTTATACAAATACTCCATGAAAAATATATAGAAGATAGTATATAAAAATATACTGACATTCCTAAATAGCAATCAATCTAATTCTCAGCAATTTAATAAAATTAAGAGCAATGAATTAAACATAGAGAGATCAATGGAATTGCAAACTGTTCATAGCAATTTTTAAAATAAGTAATATTTCAAAATCTAAATGGCACATATTTTTTTAAATAAGTAATGCTCCAAATATAAAGGGCACATATTATGAATACATTCATATGAATGCATATCCTTTTTGAAAAATTTAAAACAAGAGAAAAAAAATTGTCTTAATTTCACAACAAAAAGTTTAATTCTGAAGTGTATAAAATATTAAGGAGACTTTCCCCCCCCCCCTTAAAAAATTAAAGGTACAAACAGAGAAACTTGTTCTCATTTTATAAGAAAAGGAACTATTAACTGTACAAAAATTTTAAGATAATAAATCTAGTTCCAGAGGAATCAAATTCAAATGTTAACTTACATTCAGTATTTTGTGTCAGAAATAATAAACTTGTATACATTAGATTTACTTATTTAGTTAACTTCAAATCTTGTAATTCTTACAATTTTGATGAATGAGAGTATTTTATTTCATACAACTTATTCTGATGTTTTAATTCTGTTATAAATTAATTTTGAAAATATCTCTGAAAAATATAGTAGTGTTCCACTACATTTAAATTTACTATTTTGCTCATTTGTAATACATAACAAAAATTTCCTCAACTTTTGAATGGTAAAAATTTTGGCTCTATCCATGAAAAGCTGCATTTTTATTTGCTGATATTCAGTCAGATCAGTAAAGACGATACAATGATAACACATATTAAAATAACAAGATAATATATACCAAATGATTCAAATCTTGTCACTGGATAAAGGTGATGATATCTCTCAGAAATTAAAATTATCAGCCATATGTTCTATACAAGAAGCATATTGACTAGGTATTTAACTAATAAATAAACTTATTTAAAAATTAATCAGCACATAAAGGTAAATACAAGAAATGACATGATAGTTAAAATAGATTAGATAAAAAATTATTCTTAAATACTTTTTGTAAATCTGCTTTTTTTTTTTTAAAGGGAAATAATTACAAAGCTGTTTAGACAGAGAAAATAATTTACTGCCACATTAAATAACAGAACATTTACAAGCTAAATAACAGGATGCTAAAAACATTTATTTTAGAAACCTACTGAAAGAGTATTTAGAATAAATTATACAATGGAAGTAAAATCATAATAAACATTCGATTTCTTTATATGTAAATAAACCTTCCTGCTCTTAAGAACTGATAGACTTTCAAATACTCATGGGAATACATATTATTTCTGAGATATAAAAATATAAAGACCAGAAAACTACTAAAATATGGGAACAGCTATGTATACCACAATATTTTTTTTTTAAATATGGCATTATTTATATTATTTAAAATGTTAAATAACAAGGAAAATTATAAATTTTTTATACATTACCACTTATGTACTTTGCATTACAATTCAATTAAAATTACTTTAAATTTTTTCATTCAAAATAAAAAAAAAAAAAAAATCTTCCACTTACATTCATAATATTTGCACTCAGTGAGATATATATCTAAAAAGAAAAATCTTTCTTCCAAAAATGAATCATTTATTTCATAAATGTCACATCACTGGATTAATCTACCTAATTACAGGCTTTCTGAAACGAAATAGGACACGAATAAACAGAGGAATCACATATTATAAGATTTCTACCAGCTAGGTAAAAAGAATCATCATTGCTAGCAAAGGGTTGAGAAAAACAACAACAGCATCTGCCGGTTCATCAGTTTGAAAACTGGATGTTCATTACGATCTACAATCGATAAACACTGCAGCTACATCCACCTAAATCTTAAAAAATTCTTTGACTATTAGGTTCCATTCAACTGATAATACATACTACTGAACGCTCAGTTAAAATCACTACATGTTTATACAATAAATAAATACGGAATGGAGATTAAATACCTCGATCCTTCGTTATCAAATCCACTCTCTCAGCTGCTTCCTTGAACCGAAGCATCCATGATACCGTTGAGCGGATACGAACTGCGCCAAACGTTGAACACGGCAACAAAGAATCTTGCGGTCTCCGGTATACAGAACATCATCAATAGAATGTGCCAACGATAAATGCACACGAGATCTTCGCCCTTTATAGTCAGTGAACGAAATTACGAAACTATTCTTCGATGAGGGAAGGGGAAGATATAATAAATACTGACTAGATGGAGCAACAGCCTCACTGCCTGACGCTTACTACTCTACTGATACACTTGCCATCTCCACAGGTTAAGAGAATATGTCCGTTGCTCTCCCAGCGCTCTTCTCGCGAATCCTCTGCTTTTTCCGGCTCCAGATCGATTAGAACTTAACAATGTTAACGTGTGCGTTTTACTATACAAAAATGTGACAATCAAAGTTTTTAAACAGATTATTTCAATTATATTAATTTTATCGTAACTTTGGCGCTTCAATAATTTAATTGTCAATAAAAAAAAAAAAAAAAAAAAAAAAAAAATGTTAGCTGACGATACTTTTCTCCTTACTTCCAAAAATGTTTGTAGAGATCTCATCAGCTTCTATTAGGAATGACGAAATTTAAATCCCGTGAAAGGGAAACAGTGGCGTAGTTACAATTTTGCCGCTCGGGGCAGTCCCTGAATTTGCTGCTCCTCTTAATACACAAACAAATAACTACAAAAAAAGTCAAAACGATATGCTGGTGAAAAAAATTAAAACTCTGCTCTAATTTTTTAAGAAAACTTTAATTTCAATATTTTAAAATTATCTTATTATTTTGCTCGTTTTTTTTGCTTGCAAAACCACAGTCATTTAGTAGAGGTCTATTCGATCGCTCCAGATCGCTTCAGTTACAATAGACAATAGAGAAAGAATTCTTAACTATAAAAGTATACATTTGCAGTATTTAAATACGTCTTAAATGATTATTTAGAAAGCGCTTCTCACAACTAGCGACACTAACAGCAACTGAAAGAAAAGTTCGCACTAGTATTACAATATTTGGAACTTTGTTCTAGAGATCATATTTTAGAATAAACTGAAAAAATTCTAAAGCCTGCAAGCTTTGATAGCATTAAAAAAGATACAACAAAAATATGTAACTGTTGAAATTACTTGGCGATTTCTTTGAATATTATATTTACAGTAAAAACTCTTTTCCTTAGTTTAATTACGTATGGCAATTTAGAATCTAATTATTCTTTACCTGTCTCCACCATCCATCTGACAAATTCCTATAAAATAATGTTTCGCAAAAAATTTCCTCTTCAAAAAAGGAGCCACTCGGGCGGACCGTCCCTCTCTAGCTATACCACTGGGAAAGCGCTAACCTAGAATATTACTATTTTTCGCAAGGGCGGGATTGACACACATTTTCGGATTTGTTTGAGATAAGTTTGTTTTATTTCAAATTGCAAAGGAAGAAAATAGAGAATGGAAATTAAAATTCTTCCTTTAACCTCAGGGTCTTATTGTATGAAATATGACCTAAACTCTCGCCAAAGGTCTAAGACTAAGTTGAAATTTCTTAAAATAAATAATAAAAATAAAATAATAGCTTATAAATAGCTTTAAGTTAAAATTTCTCATAATTTCCTCCTCATAAAAGCAAAGAAGTGGGTAAAGTCGCCCCCCCTTCCATGAAAAAAAATGTTTGCTCAAGAAAAAAGAATAATGAAAAAAAATGATTTCCCGGAAAGTTTGATCGTCTGACACTGAAAATTCTCATTTGAAAATTAAAATTTGCCGCAAAAATAAGTGGGAGAAGTAGATGTTTAGCCTAGGGACCCCTTTCCGCCTCAAGCGATCTTACATTAGTCCAGTTTGGTGCTTTTAAAAAGTTCATAACTTTTTATTTTCTAACAAATATCAGGCATTCAAGGCTTTACATTTTCAGTTTTGGTTCGAGAACTAAGGTATCCTTATTTATTATTAGCCCAAAAGAGATATTAGTCTCGAAATACGACTTTGCGTTGTTTCGAGATTCATTATTTCATTTTCATTCGAGTCCGTTGCTATTCATTTCCCGATGTGTAACGTGTATACGAGCCAGGTTACCTTAGAACGTCCTCCACGAAGGCATCCCTCCTCTTAGGCAGATAGCCCTAGTGTGCTTTGCCATAATTAAATACACCAAGCACACTAAACACCGTTGCTATTCGCAAAAACCTAAGCTGTTATTCTTTCATAATTAATCTGTCTGTCAGGATTTAACAAGCAGCAGATAATGCAATAGACGCAGGTCTTAAGAATATTATTTTTTTATTTTTCAATCTCATTGATTTAAAGAAAAGTGCGTTTAGCTCATGACATATTTAATTTAAAACATTAAATATTTTTACAGTTACAGTATATATTTTCACTTTTAAATATACAGACGCTATATAACGTTTCCCTGTTATTCTGAATGCATATTCACCTAATATCCTATAAAATGTTTCGCTAATCGACGGGGGCCATCTTTATCAATATTTACTGAAACATATTAAAATTTGAAAGAGCTCTTCCAAGCGATTGTTAAAACCTGAACTCTTTCGGATTTTATTTTTCAATTATTTGTACTTAATTTAACTGAATTTATTTTTATCTCTTTACAGCTTATTTAAATTCAGCTGTGCAATGCTTTCGTTTTAATTAAACTTCCTGATGGCCTTCCATAAGGCTGTGGCATTTTGAATTTTAAAAATAAGTCCTGAAAAGCATAATTTAAATTGCCTTTTTTTCTTCAGCAGATTGACACATTTCTATGTTCAGTTGCTTTCTGCTCCTAATTTGCATGCAGCTTTGTTAGAATTTTCTTTTGGCTTGAAAGCAAGCTGCCAAACGCTGTGTCGTTTTTTTTTTTTTTTTTTTTTTTTCAACATTAAAATGAAAAGATCGAGTAGAAGCTTTATTTATTTTTGTCAAAATTTTATGAACCACTGCATTTAAATTGTAAATTTGTTAAACAGTTTTTTTAAATACATTTAATAAATTAAATGCTTTTGAAATTTAATTCCGTATTAATTTACGGAATGCTTTACTGATATATATATATTTAGTTATTTTTTTTAATTCTGACACCAGTTGTTAGGTTATTTTCTTCCTTCACGTTCGTGAGGATTTGGAGTTAATAATGACGGCACTTGATGATGAACTATCGAAACACACTTTATTTAGCCAATATTGATCAGGACAGCTCCGAAGTCACTTTTTACAGTCGTCAAAGGCCTACTATAAACACGCTGGAACAATCAGCGACACAGCCTTCACACTGTTAGGCAATAACGGCGGAGACAGCTTCACTGCAAAGCACCAGAGTACAGTTCTCGACTCTAGTCGGACGTTCTCGGAACTCCACGTACTCTCGAGACTCTCCACGCTACAATTCGCGATGAACTCAACGACACACAGAGCACAGCTCCCTACTTTTTCGGTTCAGTCATTCTCGGAGCTCAACACGCTCTCTCGACGATGCACTAACCGCGATACATTAAGAGACTCTTCGATGCACTCGACGACCCACTCGGCACTCGCTGCCCGGCTGTCAAGTTGATCGATTCCGCACGGACTATCTCGAGACTAATTATCTTGCACTCTAGACGAGGCACACACTGACTCGCCTTCTCGACGAGGCACTCCCAATGACTGACTATCAGCTCACTAATACCACTTCTGACTGCGGACAGGCAGGGTTTATATAGCTTTCGGCTTGAGTTCGAGAACATTCTGGACTAAACCGGTAAGAATTCGTTCCAGAAAGCTCTCCATCCGCCCATGACATGTCGCCAATTATCACCAAATGGACGATTTCTCGCCAAATGTGGCAACTTTGCCTTCTCTTGCTATTTTATAGCAACCCTAAACCTGCTTTGCGGGAAAGCTATCCCACCGCGTCTGTGCATTTCGTAACAATATATATATATTTGACTAAGCAGCAAAATTTTTATAGGTTTTTAAGAAAGCTTTAAAAAATACCATTTTGATAATTATTTTATTAAAGTTTGTGTATGATCAAGTTTCCAGGCATTGGCAGTAAAAGAAAAGGTTGAATGAAAGAAAGTTTAAATCTGCACATGAGGTATTCATTAAATATTTAAAACGGCAACTAAAAAATAAGTATAAATCTTTTTGAAACTTGAAGTTTTCAACTTCTTTCTTTAAAATGAGAATAAATGAATATAAAAACCAGAATACTAGTTGCTTTCAAAACACAATTATACGAAAGTGATCCAAAAATCCCTCATGTCAAATTTTTAATAACTGCGAAAATTTCGAATTTGATATTTATAAGGTATTTCTCCCGTCTTAGCATGCCTTCGCGGTGTAGTGGTCTGCACGCTGGACGCGTATTCCAGAGGTCTGTGGTTCGATTCCCTGCAAGGGTGTTGCTAATTTTTCATCTTGCCTGCTTTCCCCCAAATAATAATAATGATAATAATAATAAACCTAATGTCTCTACAATGAAAAAACACCGCTTATACTGATAAAGTATATATCACTTGAAACTGCAGTTGCAGATTATGCTGTCAATTTTAAAAACTGTTTGTTTGGCGTAAGTTGGAAATTAGTTTTCCCAAATCAGAATGAATTTTTACGATTGAGTATTACTTCGCAGTACATTCGAACGGAAAAGTTGTTTGGAAACTTTATAAGGTATTTCTCCCGCCTTCCTAGCTTGCCTTCGTGGTGTAGTGGTTCTGCACGCTGGGCCGGTATTCCAGAGGTCCATGGTTCGATTCCCGGTGAAGGCGATTGCTAATTTTTCATCTTGTCTGCTTCCAAAAATTCTAATGTCTCTACAACTTCATTGAACGTTTTGTTACGGAACGTTACAAGAATATTTTATTACGGTAAAGTGTTTAAAAAGACCTTGCCAGTGGTTGTGAAACTAACAAGACAATGATTTTCAGCTTTGTAACCTGACTACGAGAAACTGAAAGAGTTCACCATATGAAAGAAAGTGGCCGCCCGTCTACTTTGAGTTCAGTCAAAATGAAAGAAGTCAGGAATAAAATGTTGTAATCATAACAAAGAGCGTGTGAAAGATGATATTACAATCAAATTTATAATTCTTGAAGTAATGCTCAATTAATAAAAACTCGTACTGCTAAAAAAAAAATCTCATATCCAAATTGAGGTAAATAAATGGTTTTTAAACATAAACAAAAATTAAAATTTCAAGTGATATATTACTTATCAGCACAGAAGTGACATTGAAAATATCCATTTTGAAATTTCTTCAGTTTTTGAGCGTTTGATGCGAGCGATTTTTAGATCCCCACTAGTATTAAT